CCAAGCCTTTGGCAATAATCAGAGATTCTTTTCTTAACTTGCAAGTGTCCAATCATCAGAACCGATTAACTTAATCCCACCATGCAGCGTTAATGGATAGATAACTGTGGCTCTATAGTGACTACTATCAACTCAACCGATGCAATTAGGGTTGCTAAAGAAATTAAAATTGAAACGGTTGTTCTATAAGATTACTAATAACGAGAAAAAGAACCATACTTACATATAGCTGAAATGAGAAAGCTTGACTGGAATACCTAGAAGCGGCATGAATGAGAACACACCATTTTCTGAACCCAAAATGAATATATATTACATAAATAATCAATGAACATGAAATATAGATGAAACGGTCTTATCTATACCTTTATGGCCTTTTCCCTTCTCAGAACTCAACAATTAATGACCACCTGCAAGCTACATGGGAAAAGGGCAAAAAAACAAATGACTAAGAAACCTTTGTTACCTAGCAATAAAAGTATGACTTTATGAAACTACCATAGAACCCTAATAAACACAGGAGAGTATTAGCTATCATTTATGAATCACTCCAAAATATTAACCTGGTGAATCATCATGCACCTAACAAAATATCGTATATTATGTTGTTTGTTAGCTGTCTTATATTACAAAGAAGTGGTTTTTATATGTTTCATCCAAAAAAGATATGATAGAGAAAACAACAGAGAAAAGGTTGTTGTGACTGAGCCTTACATTGTTGTTCTAGAAAGCCAAGTTGTTCTAGCTTCAATAGGAATCAATCTATGGCTACATGTTACTCTTTTACAGTTCTGAAGAGATTGATAATATGGAGATTCAACATCATGTCCTTTACTGCAAATAGAAGGACTTGAACTCTTCTTGCCATACAAACAATTGGTTCCAATAATAAGCATGAACAATAATTTTTGCTAGTAAACACCTTTACCATATATCAATTATGTATTAAACGTGAATTCATATCTGCTGGGTATATCATGCGAGATTAAGCATGTACAATAAGTAGTGCGTTGCCATACTGGGAACTGCAGTAACTTGCTTTACTTGTATTTTTCCACATATCAAATTATAGCCCTCAGTTTATTCACAATTATTGCAGCATTCAAGACAGCAACATAAGCAAATTAAGATACCATTCAAAACAAAACATTAAATTTTCCTATTTGAATTGTTTGTTGGGCAGTGATTTAACACCATACAATTTCTCATAGATATTCAACCCAATACACATTTAGCTTCTTAGGCAGTCAAATGAAGATAAAAACTACTTCCAAATTCCAATTTTGAACCCATGTTAGATTAATCATGGAAAAAAAATGGCTACCGTGATAGCTTTCATAGCAATCAAACAAATATACCTCTGCACTTGTTACAATATGAGCCCTTGCTTCCTTGGCAGTATTGCCAATAGCCTTTGACACTCAGCCTATTCCACCTTCAACATATCTACAAAAGTTTTAGTTCTCAAGAATGCCAATTTCCTATGTTGGTGAAAATTTAAAATGTGTAGTTCATTGAAATTAAAGCTCAATGTTTACATAAAGTAAGAAAGAGTATAGACACAGTAGTATGAAAATGGTAACGTGTTAGGTAACAGATATAAGTAGGTACTAAGATGATAGAATAAGTTACCTCCAGGGTTCTGTTACTACAACGCTTGTCAGCAGTCTTTTTCAATCTAGATTGAGCCTTGTCTTTAAAGATCTACAATTGAATAGAAAATCTATTATAAGATTATATTCAAGGAACCATCAAGGTCCCTCATTGCTTGGAGACTTAGAATTGACTTTAAGGCTGCAAAACATGATCACTTGAAACTGAAAGTCATTTGAGCATTAGAATAGAATATCAAACTATAAATTTCAGCTCTACCTGCACCTCTTCTATGTACATTGGTACATTTAGATTCCAACAATTTTACATATATGAATTATGAGATTAGTAAAACAATAATAACCATAATGCATAGATCCAAGATCACAGTAATCTCCAATTTTAAACTATATAGAAACAAATTGACCATAATCAGAATAAGTTTAGTGCAACAGCTTAGAAAACTGTGTCATGCATTTATTAAATATCTATTTCAAATCAACAACATTTGGAGTTTGTTTTAAGATAGATGAAATCTATCTTACACCTACACATATTCCATCAATTGCACATATAATTAGGGGCAAATATAAAACAAATAATTCTTAGAAATAATTACACTTTAGAAACAGGTTGTACACCAAAACAGCCTTATCCTCATGACCTTTTGGTAAATGCATGACGATACCCTCTAAAGTGATTTTGTCCATCCATATGATCATGGGCATGTCTACAGTTTCTTTAGCATGCCGGCTGCCTTGGATTCCATTCTGCCCGTTGGCTTCCATATTTTCCAAATTTTAATACAACCACTTTGAAATTAATTTTAATACAAAGCACAACTTTGGTGATTGCCTCAGTTATCCCAAAAACTTGATACTCTAACTGTTTCTCTAAGTTCAATTATGGAAAAAAAAAATTTCATTGCTAGGACAGAACCAATTGGAAAGTTTAACCATCTACCAAACAACAAAGCACACATGTAATTCAGAACGATGGATTTGCTAGACCTGCTACCAATTTTCTCTTCCTTTCTCCTGTTTATCTGCCCTCTATGTTTTAGCGCTGCTCAAATCATGTGTAGGCTATATTCTTAAACAATCCTAAAAATATGTTTATAAATTAATATGCTTCTTTAAAAGGACAGTGTTATTATGTAATCATTGAAAAGGATTATGTTAAAATTCCTAACATTAGTCACAGCTAAATATTGAATATGCAATCTCAAACCTTTGTTGCTAAATCTCTAGTGGGCTCCTTTCCTCATCTTTGGGCACTTTTCTTTCTGAACTCCACCATGGAAGAGTGAACAAAACCAAAATAGGAAACACAAAGACACCATGATTTAAAAAATGTCTGAATGGCATAATATTAAAACACAAAAAGACATTAGAAGGCTTAGAAGTTTAAAACACGACTAAATCAAGGAGACAATATTTTTAAATCTCCTTCACGTATTTTAGTGAAAGTTTTTCCCCATGCCCATGCACTTCATGAACAACAAATATATCATACAATAAGAGAAACTAAAAATTTTGAAAATAACAAAGGCACCCATTAATAAGCTGGTACTTGAAAGACAAAAACCTAACTATGTGATAAGGTCTCCACAAATGTAAAAACAAAAACCCGTTTCATCTCAACTACAATGGAGTCCGAAAAAGCATGATTTCTTAGATTCAAACAAAAACCTGCCATGATAATGTGCATGCAAGTTCCATATAAAATCAGAATTTAATCATAAATGCACATGCACATGTGCAGAGAATTTAATTGAAACAATCAATTTTAGAATAAGAAACTAAAAACAAAAAAAACCTCCAAAAGAGTCAAATTCTCATTCAGGTCAACTTTTAGAATGGAACGAGTAAGCAAGGAAGCCTTGTTGTAGCTTTTCCAGATTTTATCAAGCCTATGACCTACAATTCAACTGTCATATTTCACTTAATTTTACACCAATATTCATCATAAACTTATATACTTATTTGGAACTTCGAAAAGCATTATAGCTTAAATGTTGGCATGCATATAGTACTAGAAAATTTTAGAAAAACTTAAAAAATCATGTAGTAGAAAACTAAAAGTCAAACCTCTCTAAACCCATGAAAAAATTCCAACACATCCATAAAAAACAGTGCAAAATGGAATCATAAAATGGAAAATGGATGGAATAATTCACCCTCCTGCCAAGATGCTCTTTGAGTCTCCTAGAAAACATACTGATATCCCCATCTTTTCATAAAAAAACAAACTAATATGTAGACCATAAATTAGCCCACAAAAAGTCAAGGAAGAAAGAACTAAGAAATCAAGGAATAGAGAGAGATGCAAGTACCTATTATGAAGTTTAATGACTTCTCTATCCCTTGAGCTTTACCAACTAAAATAGTAATATGCTAGAGCATCTAGATAAGGCACAAAGCATATTGTACCTTACAGCTTCAAAATAGAAGGACAAAAAAATATGGTGAAAACAAAAGTTCAAGAAAAAATGAAAAGAGGGAAAGTAAAATATATTGTTTAGGTAGCCCATATCAACTCAAAGGAGGGAAAATGTGAGATAGACACACTGTACCCACAACCAACTCCAAATTAGTTACCTTAAATCTACGAAAACGAAAAAGAAAAATCTAATGTTTTCATTACATCCAAACTACAAACAGGGAATTGGAAAACAAATAATCAATTTATTCTTACTATCACCAATTCAATACAAATAAAATAACCATTTATGAACATAGAAATGTTAATCAGGAATTGTGAAAGACAATTGATTTTCGAACTTCTGACTTGGACCATTGATCCTGCTGTAGCCACTCCCCACTGGTGGTGCAAAGTGCACAGTGATTTACATGAAATGCCACTAAATAGATGAATAGTCTATGAATAGTCCATGAGTGTCTATGAACAGTTATCTGTGAGTGAGGACAATGAATGGTCTAGCATTAGTAACTATCCTTTGCAAAATCACGTGAAAAGACAGAAAATCCAGTTCGAGTGGGTATTGTGAAAGGGCAAAATGGGACAATTGGAGGACTCACCTTTTGTATATTCTAGTTGATTTTTTCCTTGGGAAAACTATAAACAGATATTAATTTTAGTGTAGAAAAATAATTCACTCATAAAGAGAGCTAATAAATAATTTTTTAAGAACTGAAGAAGAAGCAACAGCTAACTGGAAAAGGTTAGTTTAGAGAGGAAATTGCTTTTTCAAGCTGTCCTTTTCAATTCTTCCCCTTTCTACCTTTTGTTATCCTTAGTATGTGCTAAAACCTTTCAAATGATTCCTCCATTCTTCCAGCTGCAAGGACAAATACAAAAGTCTAAGAAAAGCTTTAAGATTAATCGAGGCCCCGAAACCAAATGAGCAAACAAACCTGATTTTGTAGGCTGGTCATTTCTTCATTTAATCTCCCAGTCAATTTCTTGCCAATTATCATCCACTTAAATCAAGAACCAAAAAGGGGAATAAAAGAAGATTGGGTTCAATTAAGGAAACCAAAAGTAATTTTACCTCATAATTTGTAAACTACCTAAACAACCAATTTGTTAAAGAGCTACTATAAGTTTCACATTATAGATGGGAGACACACCATGCAAATGCATTTTTCATGATGCTATAATATCAATCTGCTAAAATAGATGGTAAATGGAGAACTTACCATTTAAATCTTGTCTTTGCTCTTTATCTTTTCCCATCTCGTATCATCAACTCCTAAGTCCTAAGTTTAAAAAATAAAAAATAAAAAATAAAAAAATAATAAAGAAGAATAGAGAGGTCGAGAAACATGCTGAAAAACCAAAATGAAAAGACATAATAATATAGAGAAGGATTTATCTAATAGAAAATTGAGGAAAGCATGGAAGAGAAGAATTTAGACATATTCTTGCTACCGAATCTTTCTCACCATATCTTTCTGTCACCTTGTAGTTGGACGTTAGAACACTCCCTGGCACCACTGAACTCCTCCACCAATTTCCTTCTCAGTGAAAGTCTAGACTAAGTAAATAAGGACGACTGAGACTACATGAACTGTAAACAGAAAATCAAAAACTAAAACTTAGTCTAAAAGAAGAATATGCATAAAAGAATATAAAAGTGAAATAGCATCTAAGTTTTAGTAAACAAATGCTTACTTTTTGTGGAAAACAGCTGCTTAGCTACTATGCTGTTTAAATCCACAGTTCACTGACAGGGATTCAACATTGTAAACACAGAATATTGTTCCCCGATAGGATTAACAGGTGCCTTTTTCATGGTCCCTAAAAAATCAAATAAATAATTATCCAGCCTCAGTTTAACAATACCCCTTATTCAGAAATAGAGATAACAAAGCTATTTAATAAGGAGTAAATCACCTTCAGAAAATATTGGCTAAGTAGTTAAATTCTAAATCATTGAATTTCCCATTTGGAGAACAGATGTCATGCTTCCACAACCTGGACGTCTATGGGTCAAAGAAAGGGCTACTTCAACAGCTTGTAAAAAATAGATCAAAAACAAAAGGCAAGACTTCAATCATACACGGTTTTTTCCCATTGGAAGTTAAGTATGAGTTAAATAAGCAAGTTAAATAGCATCTAATCTTTAGCAAATACAGAATCACTTCTTTTCCTGCTATTGCAGCTCATGTCTAAAATTGATAGAAGCTGTTTTCATAGTTTGTTAAAAAAATTAAAAATGGAAAAATAAAAAGACCTAATTAGAACCAAAAGTGATAATCATCCAATCTCAATTTGACAATCTTTCACATCCAGGAATAGAAGTAATAAAGCTATTCAATAAAAAGCGATTCACATTCAGGAAACACTAGCTAAGAAGTTAAATTCTCAACCGTTGCATTCCTATTTGGAGAATACATGTCTGCTTCTACGACTTGTACATCTATAGGTCAAAGAAATAGTTGCTAGTTTTTAAAGAAGAGAACAAAAAAAATATATATATATATATATATATCAAGAATTTACTTGCATTTATTATGCAATACTTTATCTACATCTAATCTCTACACAAACAAATTCCTTACACCTAAACTCATGGCTCCAAGATAAAACATTAAGCTACTCACAAATGGAAAAATATTTCAAAACCAGCTAATATTCAGATTTTTAATGTGTTGACATAAACAGAGAATTTAAATTTGTATTAAGATTAAGAAAAAAAAATAAGGTACAACAGTTCCAAAAACCAAAATAAACTAAGTTTGTATATCTCTTTGAAGGCTCCTCAGATTTAGTAGTAATCGGAGTTGCAGAGATCACAGAAAAGAAAATACGAAGCACATAGGGGTGATAACATGTTACTCAGACCAAATAATCCCATCTGACATAGATGAGTGAGCAAACTGCACCTCTTTTCAAGGGCCTTGGTACTGTCTCCATTGCTTCCCCTGCACTTCACCGCACTGGATTTCACACAAAAAACAAATGTTGGATAGGGTGAAAGCCAATCAAATTCCCATATCAAATTATTTGACTTCAAATAGAGTTAAGGTAAAGTATATGAAAATAGGGTGTTTTTTTTCTTTTTTTCTTTTTTTTTTCTTGGGGTCAAACCCTTCCATGGTCGCCTACTTCAAGTTCCAATAATAAAGATAGTAAAAAGCTTTAAAATAAAAGGCTAATCATGTCAAACATAAAGAACTCAATTCACAAAATTGAAATCGAGTTATAGCTGTCAATTAAAAACAAAAAAGAAAAGATCATAGTCAAGCTATTCAACCAAAAGCATTCAATCCATTTTTCATTATGTTCATTAATAACAGAAATTTAAGCATCAAAAGCAAAAATTAGAACTCATGCACTCAATCCCACATTCAACAGCATGGTATTAAAGGGGGTGCAACAAAAAGAAAGAACAGATGCCACAAATGTCTAAATTCGTCAAAAAGGAGATACCTGGCATGGATTCTCAACAGCAAAGCAAGAGATGGGTTCAAGCGCCTGTGTCCTCTCATCAATTTTAATAATGGATTTAGATTACCAATCAATTTCAAGAATTGATCTAGATTCAACAAGGGTTTTGAATAAATTTATATTCTTGAAACAGAAAAAAAATGGATTCAAGAAATTAACCTTGGCATTGGGTTCATTGGAGTCTGTGCTATTACCTACCATATAACCTGGTGTGACCAGTTTTTAAACTCAGTCTAAATTTACTTGAGAATAATCGTCTATCAACACTTCATCCCACTCACTTGAGAAGTTGCATTTATGTTAGCAATGTATGAAGAGAATATAAGAAGTTAGTAGCATAAAACAAGAAGTGATGACTCAGAAGGTATGAAAAAATTGTGCGAAACACCCGAATACCCATGTTATCACCAAAGAAAAAATGAAACAAAGAAACGTCATGAACTTTCTCAATTTAGGAAAAAGTGGAACAAAGATAAGTACACAACTAACTCTTTTGTCTATTGATCCGCTGTCTTGGTCATTTGTCAACACATAAAAATACATAGTTTTTAAAAATAAATTTCATAAACAATGGTTTCAAAGAAGTGCAAACATTAGAACCTAAACCAACAGATTCCTTCATATGCCATTAATAAAGTTTAAATGGTCGTAAAAAGAGCTTGTTAAACTAAATCAGAAAATGAGTGTTATTCCAGCAGAATTTAAAACTTCCCCTTAACTGTGCTCCCAAACTTTAAGATAGTACCCAATTGTACATAGTGAACCACACAAACTCAAGATATTACAAGGGCCATCTTAAATCACACCAATCATAGTTAAAGTATCTAATGATAGATAAAACTACATATAAAACTAAAGTATCCCTCTCTTTTTTGGCCCAAAGCCTACAAAAACCTCTTAAGTGAACAAATTTACAACCAAACCACAGTAATTTACATAGAAGGACATTCAACTCATAAATCAGAAAGAAAACCTAAGAACTGGGAAGAAAGTTTCAGTTAAGTTTAGTAAATTTTTTTTTTGGGAAAAAAAAGACATGAATCTACACACATGGAACACACCATTTAAAACTTGTAAAATAATTCTATCTTCATCAGCCATAATTCTAAACTCTTAATGATATAATTGAAGTTTAACAAACAAATTAGTACTTGAAAAAAAAAGATACCAAGGTAGAGGAAAAGCCATAAAACCTACCCATTCAGTTGATTTTACCCAAGATTATTATAGAAGAAAAAAAAAAAAAAAGGGACAAAACTAAATACAAAAAAGATTACTAGGAGTGTCTTGTGCTTTCTCTTTTTCTTTTTTCTGTTTGGACCACCAAGTATCCGGAAACCCACTAGACCACTGAGTAATCCAGATTCAAGCCAGATAGAACCCAACGGGTGACAAAACTCTCTCTCACGAATTTTAACGGAACTGCATCCCAGAACTTGAAATCAAGACCTCTAGTTAAGCTGAAAAAGTCTCCTGCAAACTCATCCACCTACTTGTGGGTGCTTTTTCTCTTAATTAATAAAGTTTACTCACTCTTAGTTGTTCTTCATTTTCAAAATCCTAACAGTCCTCTGAACCCATATCATTTAGTTTTCAAGATATCCTTAAGTCAAAACCATGAATTTTAGTTTAAAATAGCCAAGTAATATACTTCTTCACCTAAAGCAGGTACTTCCTAAACTTGTGTGTATATTTTAATCAAAGAACAAGTTACCATTTTTTCATTCCAAGTGAAAGTCGGTATTTCTAAAAGTTGTCAAGATTTAGAAGTTAATGGAGCACCTCAGATACATTGCTCTCTGCACATAATAAAAACCCAAAAGCAACATTTCTTTCTCTCATCAAAGAAAATGCCAACTTAAACAAATCCCAGTAATATGAAGGCTTTCTTGCTTCCATTTTGTTAGTTTATAAAGTATTTATTAGCAGCTTAAGGTGTAATTAGTATCTCTTTTCCTACAACCTTTAAACCCTTATTCCTTATTTTTCCCCTGCTTAAGTGCGTGCTAAGACAATTACGAAAAAAGAGAAGGAAGGGGAACCGTGGGAAAGCATATATAATGAGTAATTGAAAGTATATATAATGAGCAGATGGAAACAGTGTTATAGTATTGTTATAGGAAAAAACCAAAAGTACTGGTTAGTAAATAAATAAATAAACAAAACCTTCTCCTCTTTAATCTTCCATACCTACCGCCTATAGATCTTACCAACAAACCACACAATATGGAAACAAATTTGTCTAGCCAAAACAGCTAAGGAAAACATCTCTTCAATCTCCTCCTTTTCAACAATCCTTTTTTAATCGTGAACAATTTTAACACTGTACTGAAAATGCATGTATACTTACCCCTGCTTCTCTGAAATTCGGAT